CCCTTTGCCGATGGCTTCGATACTGGGAGTTTTCACGAGAGCGCTCTCACATGAGACATAATGGATTTGCACCCAAGTCAGCATCCAGCATGCCAGGGACCTGGAACCAATTTTATAGACACAGCCATGAAACACTTCCAAGTTCTACTTACTTCTTTTTCACATAGGAGTGTCTTGGAAGAGCAAGGCTAACCTCACTGATTCCAGCACAGCTAAACAGCAAAGAGACAGCTGGAGAAAAGGGGGTATTCCTACGGACGTCCAAGGCTGGCTCAAATTATTTTGCCTCCTTGATCAAGGTGCACTTATCCCCACCTGGGCTTGCATTGCCACTACCTGGTGGTGGTGTGAATACAGGACACACAGACACACACACACACACACACGCTGGTCTCTTCTCATGCCACTGATGTCTGGGACTGAGCTGATTCTTTTCAGTGCATCTGGCATCATTATCCCGACACGCTTCTCCTCACATTTGGGACTCAAAAGGGGTTGAAATGTTATTCTCCTTTCCCTATGAGGAAAGGTTAAGGCGCTTAGGGCTCTTTAGCTTGGAGAAACGACGACTGAGGGGTGACATGATCGAGGTTTATAAGATTATGCATGGGAAAGAGCAGGTAGAGAAAGAGGTACTTTTCTCCCTTTCTCACAATACAAGAACTCGTGGGCACTCCATGAAATTGCTGAGCGGTCGGGTTAGAATGGATAAAAGGAAGTACTTCTTCACCCAAAGAGTGATTAACACGTGGAATTCACTGCCACAGGAAGTGGTGGTGGCTACAAGCATGGACGGCTTCAAAAGGGAATTAGATAAGCATATGGAGCAGGCGCCCATCAATGGCTATTAGCCACAAGGTGTAGATAGGGGCTCTGGGGCAAGTGATGCTCTGTCATCTTGGTGCTTGGGGGGGGGGTCAACAGTGGGAGGGCTTCTAATGTCCTGGCCCCACTGGTGGACCTCCTGATGGCACTGGTATTTCTGGCCACTGTGGGATACAGAGTGTTGGACTGGATGGGCCTTTGGCCTGATCCAACATTGGCATCTCTTATGTTCTTATGTTCTCTTTTACCACATGGCAGCCCTGTGAAGAAAGCCGGAGGCCTCCTGCTGCGGCGCAGGATCCTAAAAGTTCTGCTTTGACGGTGGCTTCGTTAATAATGCTGTTACTAATACATTCTGAGTATTCACAGCTGTAAACGAGGGAGGCAATTTGCTGCACTGTGCAGAATAAACGCTTCCGTCACTGCTTGTTTGACTGAAAGCTCTGCTGGCTTCATCAGCCCCGTTTCAGCTTTTCAGCAGAAAGACCGGCTAATAACAAATTAAGCATGGCACTCTCTTTTGGAACTAGAGGGCACAGACCCTGATAAATAGGCTGGATTCATTGCAGAACGAACGCCGGGCACTCTGCAGCCTCTCAGTTCCCTGGCTTCAGCACAGTGGTCAGACTTTGGGCCTTTGTTCTCACTGAGAGAACAGATCAAGGTCTGGCCTGCCCCACTTCAGACTATAATCAAGAGCACATGACAGCTAAATGCTCCTCTAGATTAAAAAAAAATCAAAACAAAACCACAACTCCCTTAACATAAAAAATTAGCATGCCAAGAAGGGAACCCTCCTCTCTGAGATGCTGACTTTCTAAGTGCGGGGAATTCTGTCTGTGTGTGTGTGAGAGAGACAGAGACAGCTTTCAGTCATATGATTCCACCAGCACTCTCAAGAGGTGCAGCCCAGACACGGTCTGATTGCCTCTATAAGAGTCAGGCCTTTATCTGAATTCAGGAGGACACCGAATGCCATTTTTGGGTTAATTTTTTTTTCTTTTTTGCATCTTGTCTCATTATACTGGCATGGCCGGCGCTCCCAATTTCATTGCTATTTTTATGTAACTTGCATGCCTTCTATTATTCAACCGATGTAATGATAATGTTGAAAAATGCATTTATTTTAATGGGGGGAAAGAACCGATGCCAAGAAGCAGATAATGGCATGAAAATAAGGAGTGGCGGGTTCAGTTTGCACAAGAGAAATGGAAACAAGGTGAAACGGGAGGGATGAGGAATCTGATAGCCTCCATCGTCTGCATTTCGTTCCCAGGCCAGGAGAGTTTTCTTGGCAAGCCCGTTCTTCTTCTTGAAGAAATTCTAGAGCAAACTCAGCTGTCCAAACACGTCACGTAGTTGCCAGTGGACCCCCATCCCTTCCTGGACCTGACAGACAGTGGCATCAGCCCCAGCGAGGATCCCATCTTATCTCCTGTGCCACAGATGGAAGCAACCTGAACCCTTTAGTGCAGCAGTGCCCTCTTCAGTTGCTGGCAAACAGGCCCCTTGGGCAAGGCAGCCTCCGTGGGCTATTTCAGCCTAGAAGTACCAGAGATGCCAAACAAGAATTCTCTCATGTCGCCTCCGGCCTTCTATGCTAGGAGGTTTTGGGACAGTGGCAACCCCTTGAGAGCCAGTGTGGTGTAGTGGGTAAAGAGCAGTAGACTCTAATCTGGAGAACCGGGTTTGATTCCCCACTCCTCCACATGCAGCCAGCTGGGTGACCTTGGGTCAGTCACAGTTCTGTCAGAGGTGTTCTCTCAGAGCTCTCTCAGCCCCACCTACCTCACAGGTGTGTCTGTCGCAGGGAGAGGAAGGGGAAGGCGATTGTAAGCCGCTCCGAGACTCCTTTGGGTAGTGAAGGGTTGGGTATAACAATCAACTCTTCTAGTTCTTCTTCTCTGCTTGTGTCAGGACAGGGGCAAATGTCCAGCCTTGCCACCCTCTAGAGCCAGACCTGGTTGCAGTGATGTCCTATTCTCCCAGCACAAGCCATTTTCTGATTCTGTCAGCATGTAATTTACCGCCCCCTCCACCCAGCCCATTGACGGCTCTGTGGAATGCGGCCATCCAATAGATCTGCCATTTGACATCACCAGTGACAAACGATGAAGCCCCTCCTCCCACGCCTGCACCTTTTTGTGATCTTCTGAGTATTCCCCCACCATAGGTCAGCCCTCATGTAACCCTTTCAAAATAAGCAGTGAGCACCAGCAATGCTATCTGCTCTGCTTAGAACGATGCTGGCTCATTTTACGAATTATTGTTTGCTTGTCATCACATTATATTTTGTTTTATTCAGTTCTTTCAAAACCACGTCTTTTCTTTCTCCCCTCCTAGAATAGGCATTTAGCCTGGTTTGTTTGTTTTTAAGTGGCAAACATTTCTACTCTTGCCACATCCCCCCCCCCCCCCCCCAAGCTAGGCCAACCAGAGTGTACGGGCTCTGAGAGAACTGTGACTGATCCAAGGCCACCCAGGTGGCTTCGTGTGGAGGAGCGGGGATTCAAACCCCATTCTCCAGATTAGAGTCCGCCGCTCTTACCACTACCACCTGGTAGTTTTGGCCACTGTGTGACAGAGTGTTGGACTGGATGGGCCATTGGCCTGATCCAACATTGGCTTCTCTTATGTTCTTATGGGAAGAGGCCGTGGCTCCGTGGTACAGCATCTGCTTGGGGTGCAGGTTCAATCCCCACCATCTCCAGTTAAGAGGACCAGGTAGTAGGTGATATGAAAGACCTCCATATGAGGCCAGAGTAGATAACACTTACCTTGATGGCCCAACGGTCTAATTTGGTATAAGAAGAAGAGGAGATTGGATTTATACCCCCCTTCACTTGGGAGTCTCAAAGCGGTTTACAATCTCCTTTCCCTTCCTCTCCCCACAACAGATACCCTGTGAGCAATGCTCCCTCTAAGCTGTGGAGTCTTGTGAGCAAAAATTCTACTTTGTGAGCAGCTGGCATTAAAGTTGTGAGCGAGTGATGTGGCCACTGCTTAGCTCTGGAGCCCTCCTTCCTGAGCTAAGACATAAAACTGTGACCCGGAGGCTAAAAAATGGTGAGCTAGCTCACACTAACTCAGCTTAGAGGGAACACTGCCTGTGAGGTAGGTGGGGCTGAGAGAGCTCTCTCGAGGATTGCTCGTGAGAGAACAGCTCTGAGAGAACTTGTGACTGACCCAAGGTCAGACCAGCAGCTGCATGTGGAGGAGTGGGAAATCAATCCCAGATTAGAGTCTGCCGCTCAGTTGATAGACTATTGTAGATATTTAGAGTTTTAGTAATTTTGTAACTAACATATGCAGATCAAATGCAGTTTTATATTTAAATATTTTATATATATTATTGGTACCCTTTTGTATTGTTTGTAATTGGGCTGGTGATATACCGAATAAACTGAAACTGAACTGAACTGAGTCTGCCGCTCTTAACCACTACACCAAACTGGCAGCTTCATGTATTCACGTGTGTCACTATTTGACATTGTAATGTTACTTTAGCCAGGACTTTTTTTGTAGAAAAAGCCCAGCAGGAACTCATTAGCATAATAGGCCACACCCAACAGCAGAAACTCATTAGCATATTAGGCCACACCCCATGTCTTCTTTTGGCTTGCCCGGGCAAGCCAGCCCTTGGACAGGCTGGGGAAGGCACAGGAAGGCATTTAAATCCCTCCCCGATCTTTCCAGGCCCCCCCCGGCCCACCCGCCTTGGAGTCGCCGGGGAGGGTCGCTCTCCAGGCCTTCCCTCTGTAGCCACGCACGCAGAGGTTTTGGCTGTAGTGGGCGTGGCCAACTGTGAAGCCAGCCGGAACTCCGTTCCTGTGCGTTCCTGCCCAAAAATAGCCCTGACTTTAGCGTACTGGAAGTGAACTGGGATTCATATGAGTCCGGTACTAGGAATGACAACATCTGGGGCTTTTAAAAGTTCATCTGGAAAGGGTTCTCTTAATATGATCAGACCAATGTTCCCTTGGCCAGTGCTTCTTAGAGCCACCCTAGGCCCCTCGCTCAGGGAGCCCCCCACACACACACCTGACCCCAAACAAAGTCACACAACTTGCTCTGCCCTGTGAGTGGAACTCCCAAAATGTGTTTCAATGTGGCCTCTCTCTCTTTTTTTAAAAAAAATCCCCCAAATCACAACTTGGGTGCCAAACGGAACTCACACTTTATCTGTGCCGTAACTTCTGTAGTCTACTGCTGCTGAAACAGCCACAATCAGAGCAGGCATCCCGTAGCCAACCAGGTAGAAGTATTTCCTTCGCGAATGTTCGCTCTCGAAGACCTCCACCAACATGATGTAGAGCTGGACTCCCTCCAAAAACATCCAGGTGAAAGCAGCGAGGAAGAAGAAGTGCAGGAGGGCAGCGAACACAGCACAAGCAATCTGGGAGAACAACAACGAGGACAAAATCACAGCTGACAATTAATCAGTTCAACCCTGAATGTGACATCAATCCAGTGTGTGCGAGTGGCCAAAAGAAAAGAAGATTCCATGCCAGGGATTAATTGGAAAGGGACTGAAAGTAACACAGTCAATCTCTTAACAGCCTTATCTAAATCTATGGAGAAGCCATCTTTGGAATCCTGTGTGCAGTCCCGTCTGAAAGAATGTACCGCAACGCTGGAAAAGGTATGGAAAACGAAAACGAAAATGGCCATCTAGAGTTTGAGTCCAGCAGTTTAGAGACCAGCAAGGTTTTCAGGGTATAAGCGTTCGAGAGTCGAAGTTCCCCTTGACAGATATTGGACGTAGGGAGCTTTGATTCTCAAAAGCTAACCCCCTGAAAAATTTTGTTGGTTCCTAAGGCGCTACTGGAACCTAATCAGACTGTTCTACTGCGGAGCAACACGGCTATGCTGTGAAACAAAAATGACCAAGGAGCTGGAGCCCCTCTGAGAAAAAGCGGTAGTGTTTAATTTAACAGAGCTTTTGTCTGAAACGTTGAAGGTTACTATTAGAGTAGGGTTGCCAAGTTGAAAAAGCTGCGGACCGGGGAACTCCTGGTCCGCGGCTGGAGCGTGCGCCGCACACACATCACCAGAAAGTGACGTTATGACACCGGGGATGCTGGGGGCGGGACCATGACCATCGGATGACCGTGGCCCCACCCCAGCGTGCCCAGCGTCATAACGTCACTTCCTGGTGACGTGCATGCCAGGGTGGGGCTCCCCCCGGGGCCCGATCCGCCGGCGGTGGGGAACGGGCCTCTGGGGCGGGGTTTTCCCCGGCCCCTGGGGGGACTTGGCAGCCCTATATTAGAGTTACGCACGGCCTCATGCCTTGCCATTTTGTGCTCGCTCTGCCTCTTGTGGAAGCCATTTTGTGGTTGGCTCCACCTTCAGTGTCAGCCATTTTGTAACTGCGGCCACTGCCCTGTGTCAGAATTCAAAATGAGAATTTATAATATTTATAATGAGAAATCATTTATAAAGGGAACTAGGCCTATCTATGGTGTAGCAGAAGTCTACTGGCAGTTATCACATACTTCCTGACATACTGGTCCCACTGAACTCAAAATCTGTTCTGCTGCTTCAGACCAAAATGGCTGCCCACCTGGATCTATTCTGAAACAAGATGTTCATTTTTAAAAGGCACCCTGTTAAACAGGGCTTTTGCCTGAAAGACTGAAGGTTTATTTTAGTGCTATGCTTGCTTTGCCTTCAGTGTCAGCCATTTTGTGGCTGGCTCTGCCTTCAGTGTCAGCCATGTTGTGATTGTGGCCACTACCCCGTGTCACAATTCAAAAAAGTTTCAAAGGCTGGGGACCCTGATCTAGACTAGGGTTTCCAGGTCTGGGTTGGAAAATACCTGGAGACTTTGGGGGTGGATCCAGGAGAGGGCGGGTTTGGGGAGGGGCCTCAGCATGGTAGAATGCCATGGAGTCCAACCTACAAAGCAGCCATTTTCTCCAGGGGAGCTGATCTCTGTCAGCTGGAGATCAGTTGTAAAAGCGGGAGATCCCCAGGCCCCACCTGGGGGCTGGCAACCCAAATCTAGACTGGTATCTTGCCTGCAATGGTAGCCAGCCAGATGCTTCTTGGAAGCCAATAAGTATGGCTAGAAGAGCATTATTCCTCCCCAAATGGTATTCAGAAGTACACTGTTTCTGAAGCTGGAGTATCCAAGCCTAGCTGTCACAGCCAATAGCTCCCGATAGACTTGTTTTCCATCAAACAGGGAGATGTTTTACTGCAGGACCAGTGCAAAGAATAAGGGTTCAGTGTAGGAGTGTGCAGGGTTTTTTTCTTGGTATTTTTTTGGTTCAGGTCTATTGGACCTGAGAAAACTCAGATCCCAATACTGGTAAATTATTTGAATCCGGGATTTTTTTGGAAATCCCAAAATTTTTCAGGTTCAATAAACCTGAACCAAAAAATACGGAGGGAAAAAAAGCGGTGGCAAAGCTGCAAAAAACAGCTGAGAAGTGGCACAGCTGGGGCTCTTTCGAGCAGCCCCTTTAAACTGGACTGACCAAAAGAGCCCACAGAGCACATAATCCCGCAGGGAGAACTTTCCCCACCAGCTCAGCTGAGGCTCCCTTGGGCACTGCAGTATAAACCGGACTGCCCAAAAGAGCCCACAAAGTGGCTGATCCTGCAGGGAGAACTTTCTCCACTGGCTCAGCGGGCTCTTTTGGGCAGTGCGGTTTAAATGGGACTGCCCAAAAGAGCCTGCAAAGCAGCTGATCCCATGAGGAGAACTCTTCCCGTGGGCTCAACTGGGGCTCTCTTGGGTATTTCGAACTGCCCAAGAGAACCCCAGGTGAGCCAGCAGGAAGAGCCCATAGGAAGAGTTCTCCCTGATGGATCAGATGCTTTGTGGGCTCTTTTGGGCACTCTGCTTTAAGCCGAACTGCTCAAGAGAGCCCCAGCT